GCAACTGAGCCAGGGCTTTATCAGTGTGTTTTACTTATGGTATATACCTGATTGAAAACCAGTTTCATGTTTCTTTGATTTTTTTTTTCAATACATAAGTTGTATGAATAAGGTTAAATTAAGTTTTGTTTCAGTGCATTGTACTTTTATTTTGGAGTAGCATGCGTGCAAAATTTTTAAAAAGGTCAACATCCGATTCCAGGTTCATATGCATCCATGTGAACTTAGAATGAATTTCCTTGTGATGCTGTTGAATTTGTTCAAAATATTTTCAAGGAACATAATTTTAGAAAAATCTGTAGTTGTTTGTATGCATATTTTAACTATTTTGCAAAGGTTTTTGTATTAGTACTCTTGGAACTCACTGTATTGACAAACCAGCAGGAATCTGTAATTTGTGACTTAAAACAACTTCTGCAGAAACCTTTGCGAAAATAATTGATGAAAATATTTCTTTATATGTCAGCATCTTGGCCTGCTTGATGTTGAAGTCGTTCATAAATTTTGGGGTGAAGTGCCTATGTAATTGAGGATAATTTTCAATATGCAGTTTTTTTTCTTTTTAAATAGTTTATGGAGGATAAAGTTTGAAAGTGCTGAACCATGAAATGTTAACCCAAAAGTTGGAACAGTGTTTTTCCTAAGGATGCATTTATATTTCAGTTTCCCATACATGCAAAGCATTTTTAATAAAACTGGTGCTGCTGCACCTGAATCCAGAGGTTTGACACTTAGGATTTGGAGTGTGAGCACTCTGTCGAGGTGGGTCAAATTCCACTTTGCTTCCGTTGGCTTGAGCCTTTACACCTGACGTATGCTACTAAAGTTGGGTTGCAAAAGCAAGCAACTCTGTCCATTAACAATATCAATATAGCAGCCTAAATTGTCAGATACAGGTGTCCTGGATTTATGAACACCCAACTTATGAAGCTTATACTTGCGAGCATAATCCTGTATCTCTTAATTTTAAGTATACAACATGTGAAAGTTCGCTCGTGCTTAACGGATATTTTATACAATACTGTATTGTGTTTTGACTTTTATAATTCACGAACGCACTCAGGAGTGGAACCTGCTTGTAATCTAGGAATCTCCTGTAATATAACCATGTATATTTATAAAGAGGATCGCACTACTGTTTTGCCTTCTGAATTCTAGTTTCTGTGTATTATGCATTATAATTGCTGGAAAAGGAAACTTTTAATTGTGTAAGTTTGATTACATTTCCCCTGAACCCTGGAACGTTACTAGTGAGCTGTGTAATGGACCTGAAATTGTAACAGCAGTTCTTAAAGTTGAGGAAAAATAAGGCATTAGAGCAGTTTTCATTGAATTGAGAGTCATAATTTATGGCATTCATCTGTTTGCAGTAGTTTTTTTTCTTAATCCATCAACCACCAGCAGAAGTGCTTGATCATTCCAATAGCTAGTGATTTTACTTTCCTGAATATATTTTGGAACTCCATTTTTTTGTGCCCAATTTTCAAAACTAAAAGTTTTCCTTTGTTAACTTTGGAATTTTGACAACGTAGTGTATGGTTAGGGTTAGGGAAAGTTTTTTTATTTTCAGTTTCTTTTCCCAGTTTTCTCCCATCTTTTCTATAGATAACCATTACAATGCCATGGCTCCAGGGATAGCCATAGCCCACTGTTTCGTTACTCAAACATGAATCAAAATAGTGTTTGACCATGTGGTAATTGCACCTTGTTCTGGTTTTGATTTCGTGACCGTGCAAGTTATTAGATGGAGATCGGGAAGAGGAACAGTTTCTTCATAGTTATTAATTAAATTAAGAATGTGTGGACCTCATCTACCTAAAAGCTGACTGGAAGAAACTGAGAAATCATTTCTAATGTATAGATTGTAAACTGACTTGTCTGAGTGTAATTTTGACGCACACAAAATTGTTTCACCAACAATGTGTGTAATAAGGTTCAAGACTTAGCAATGTAGTGGTGTGCTAGAATTCTAGAATTTAATCATCCTCGACACATTATGTATATAGTACAAATGGAAAGTGAATTTTATGGAATAAACATAACAGCACAATTTGTCATTGAAAAAGCTGTAGACGTTACAATCCGTCAAGATCCAGCCTATTTTCATAGAATCCCTACAGTGTGGAAACAGGCCCTTCGGCCCAACAAGTTCACACCAACCCCCGCAGCATCCCACCCAGACCCATCCCCCTATAATCCACCTAATCTACAAATCCCTGAACACTACAGGCAATTTTAGGATGGCCAATCCACCTAGCCTGCACATCTTTGGACTGTGGGAGGAAACTGGAGCACCTGGAGGAAACCCACGCAGACACGGGGAGAATGTGCAAACACCACACAGACAGTCGTCCAAGGGTGGAATCGAACCCTGGTCCTTGGTACTGTGAGGCAGCGGTGCTAACTACTGTGCCACCGTGCCACCCCTATCTCTTTGGCTATGGCATTGGTATACTCCTAAAAAGGAAGCTGCCAATATAATGCACTACTGTCTGTGCATTAGAAGTAGTTAAATTAGATTATAGCCGTATTTTATAGTCCATTTCTGAAGAAGGGTCCCGACCTGAAACGTCAACTGTCCTGCTTCTCTGATGCTGCCTGGCCTGCTGTGTTCCTCCAGCTCCACACTGTTATTTCTGACTCCAACATCTGCAGATTTTACTATCTCTGAAATAGAATATAGCTTGCTTTTTTGCTTTTCGAAAGGGCTGATTTAAAACAACTGGAATTGCACCAGTTGTGGTAATGAGGGTGCTGCTTTTGTCGAAAGTCTGTACTCTGAAAACTTGTAGCAAGTAGCTATAAATGTCATGACCGTCATTTCAACCTTCAGGAGCATGATGTGTGAAAGAATTTCTTGTAACCATAAATGCTGATGGATGAGTCACTTGAGCCCTTTTTTCCCCCCCTTTCACCTGCTTCAGGCACTTGGAGAACTTGGTGTCTAATTTCAATCCATTGGCCTGTAAGATAGCTTTTAAAAGTGGAAAAAGATGGCAGTTATTTTGAATTGGCCTAATAATTTTCAGCATGCAAATAAGAGGATTTCTTGAGCCTTGATGTTGTTTGAATTTAATGTGATTGTTTTATCCATTAGACCTAGCAAGGATGCTTTTGAGGACATAAGCAGCACAAATTCCTTGGAGAAATCACACATTTTTATTGAACATTATTATCTTGTCTTCACCCAAATAATCAGGCATCAAGGCCAAAACATTCAGGCTTTGGCTGATAAGTAACAAGTTACATGTGTGTCATGTAAGTGATAAGCAATGACTGTCTATCCACTTTGTCGCACAGTGGCAGTAATATGTGCCACCTACAAGTTCCACTCAGTAACTTACCATGGTTCCTTTGCCACGCACATTCCAAATCTGTGTCCTCTACACCTAGAAGGACATGAACAACAGATATATGGGCACACCACCTGCAAGTTCCTCTCCAAGCCACAGACCATCCTGACTGAGGATTATCTTTCAACGGTAAAATCCTGAAAGCACTGTGGGTGACCCTTTTAATAGATGAACAGCAGTGTGAGTAGGTGATTCACTCCACTTTCTCAAGGATAAGGATAGGCAATAAATGTTGGTTTAGCCAGCGACATCCATGTCCTGTGAGTGAATTAATAAAAGACGAGGAAAGGTGTTATAGTCAAGACCCACCTTAATGCCTATACATTTCACAGCATGTGTTATTCAATATCAATTTTGTCTGATTTATTTCCTCCTCTTTGACATTTTAAGTCTTTTGTAACTTTAAGTAATTAATCAATTTATTAAAATGACCTCTACCTATAAGTAATGCAACTGTTACATTGCTTTTGAAAACAGTTTTGTAAAGTTGTGTGAATTTATATTTTCATGTTTTGATGGTCTGTTATTATAAAACAAAATTAGCCAACTTCTGCGGATATTTGTTAATCTTCGATCATATTCTAGGCAGGTAATGGTAAGGTATCTCCAACCACTTTCTGCAAAATTCGGTATAGAAAGCTGACATCTGATACTGTGACTGTATCCAAGTGAAAGAAGCTTCATTTTTGTACTTGTGGCCATATTTGTCCAAATTCCACATTTTGACTATGTTGTGCCTCATTCTAAACGGTTCACATGACTTCTGTAATTGGTCAATTCATTAACCAACAATGTCTGCCAGCTAACAAGATTCAAATCAGTACTTGTAATAGTTGCACAAAGCCAAGCTAGATATAATCACTGCACTAAGTGTCATTAACCTTCAACGATGGAGAGTGCACATGGTTGTTCCTTGCTGTTAAAGTGCTTGTGATTCATTTTCATGGATAAAGATGATTGTTTACCGTATGTGCAAAGTTGGAAGTGATTATTTTTAACCCCTCCATTCTGATTGAATGTATATCTTAGAATATTTCGCATTTAATTTATTGATGAGCAATGCCAGAATAAAACTACAAGTTGCTCTTTACTCAAAAACAATAATTTTGTAATTCTTCACTGTTTTCTTATCACTGACAATTTGAATGTGTTTACTTATAAGCTGTTTAAACTATTATATGCTTCAGCTGGAAATTAAGCTGTGAATTATACAAGTCATTTTTTTGGAAAGGCAGCAAAAATGTTTACAGTAATCTTGATGGGAGATGATTTGAAGTCAAAATCATACTGTTTTCGTAATGAACGTTGCTTTTTCAGTTGCTTTCAAAGTCGAATAAATTTTGAAGGCCGAGTCAGTCACGCTATGGGGCACGTAGTTATATTGACACTTGAATTTATAAGAAAAGTGGCATTTCAAAGTAAGAAATGCATAGTAGTTTCTTTTTGCCCTTTTAACCTGCATTATATATATGCACCCTGACTGTTATCGTTTTTGTGCAAAATTTATACTTAGCCTGGAATTTGTAATTGGCATTATTTTAATGCTGGTGGAGCTGCATTTATTTTAAGTAATGCTGATTGGAATTCAATCTGGTGTCAGTAACTGTGTATTGGTGCAATATAATGTGTTTTTTTTTTACACTCTAGGTTAGTGTGGTCCAGGATTCTGTGAATATATCAGGCCAGAACACCATGAATATGGTGAAAGTTCCTGAATGTCGCTTAGCAGATGAACTTGGAGGACTATGGGAAAACTCTAGGTTTACAGATTGTTGCCTTTGTGTAGCTGGGCAAGAGTTCCAAGCACACAAAGCAATTCTTGCAGGTTTGGAACATTCTTATACCCAAAGCTTTTTAATGAAATATTTATAAAGCTTGTATCAAATGATGTTTTTTTTCATACAAAATGTATCAAAAGTTTACTTGATTTAATCTTGTATCTATTGTTTCTGATCTTCCAGTATTTTTTAAAAAAGACCCAGGATTCTAAAAATCTGATGTAAAGGCAAAGGATGTCATATTATAGATTGATCAGCATCTGAAAGAGAAACATGTGATGATATTTTGGGTGTGGCAATTGGTCAGAGTTGGCTCTTGGTTTATGTAAACCCATTCTTTGCATTTCCTGAATGCTGTTAAAATGGAATCAATAATTAATTTCTTAATGGGGATTACCAAATGTAGAAATGAGTTTTATATAGGTTCAACTCATGAAGCGGATGAAGCAGTCAAGTAAATTTCTTGGTTAAAATATATTTTCTCAAGAATTGTATGCTGTACTATTTAGAATGATGCTTAGTGTTAGTCAAAGCACGTTTAAATCCTTCATTTATGTTGGTAATTTTCAAGATGTTTTTGAGCCACAGCCACTTTTTTTTTAATGGAATTAAGTGCACTTACCAGCTTTATCCTTGTGCTCCAGAAGTATATTGAATGTCCTATTAAATCTTCCTTTGAAATATAGGCTCGTGGGCTCCTTTCAATTATTTTAGTTGTACAACTGAATATAACTAAAATAAAACAATCATTTGCTACTTTGAAATAGAATTGGGTGTGCTATGCTGTTTTGGATTGTTCATGTTTTACAGCATCCATGGAAGTCCACTCTGGCAGTTCTTTTTCTGGTGTTAGTATTGACATGCCCCCATGTGTGGTGTTAGCATTGAGGCAAACTCGCAAGTAGTGTTGGCTGCTGACACCAGGAGCCTGGTGGCCATCATTCAGTACCTCTTTGGCAGCATTAATTCACACCTTTTCAGGACAACAACATAAAGCAACCCATGGCCCACAAACTGTACTTCTTTCCTGGGAGATGCTTTCCAGTTTGTGTCTGTACAGCAACTGAATCTGTTAAAACTCCATAATCAGATGTGATTACTGTCCCAGGCCATATTAATGAAGAGATACCTAGGTGTAGAGCTGGATGAACACAGCAGGCCGAGCAGGAAGGCTGACGTTTCGGGCCTAGACGCTCCTACAGAATTTTCTGAAGGAGGGTCGAGGCCCGAAACTTCAGCCTTCCTGCTCCTCTGATGCTGCTTGGCCTGCTGTGTTCATCCAGCTCTACACCTTGGTATCTCCGATTCTCCAGCATCTGCAGTTCCTACTACTCGCATATAAATGAAAGCTATTTTGGATAGAAAACAACATAAAGCTGTCAAGATTGATCAACCCTTAGGGCAAGGGAAGATTTCAATGTCCAGTTTTGGGGCCAGCCACTTAGCTATAACCCAAAACCAAAATACCTTGGCATCACTCTTAAATAGAAACACTTCCAAAAATCAGTTAAGGTCAAGATGAGAGTAAATCTTTTGGAGAAACTGACGGGCCCCACAAGGGGCAGAGCCAACATGGTAGATATTTTCTAATCAACCTGTGCAGGGATGTTATGACACGCCCTGGAACAGATGGAACTTGAACTTGGGCCTCCAGGCTCAGAGGTAGGGATACTACCACTGTGCCACAAGAGCCCAACATGCTATGCTGTGCTTCACTTCTCCTGGTCTAACCAACAGCAGAATGCTGCTTCACAACTTGTTAAATATTCCCTGTGGGGAGCATGAAAGAATCAATTGGGATATTTTTGAAGCCAGCAGAGGCTCGAACTTTATGGCATTCACCAAGGCGGTGAGGGGCGGGGTAATAAATCCTCCTCACAGCATCATGCCTGACAGCTAGTGAAGCACTCCCCTGAAACAGATCCTCAGGAAAGAAACCCCCACACCCATGTAAATTCCAGTGTTCATTGCTGGGACACACTCTGACGACAACCCCATCTCTTGTTGTCACACCTTGAGTGATTCCATATATCACCAGTTACCAGCTGGTAATTAAACCAATTGATCACAGTTTTCAGTCTTCCACAGAAAATTTGCACAGCTCTCAGTCACTTAGAGACTGACTAGTGAATATATCACCATTCACTCCGCAATAGAAGCATGACGTCCAGCTTAAATTGGGACTATGACCATCCAAGGCAACCCACATACTGCACTTCTATCCTGGTATATGCTTTCCAGTTTGTATCTATGCAGCAACTGAATCTGTTAAAGCTCCATAATCAGATGTGATTACTTTCCCAGGCCATATAAATAAAAGCTATTTTGGATAGATGGTCAGCATTTGGCTAAACAGGTGTCATTCTAGTTTCTGATGCGGGTTAGTTTGTACAAAGAGACTATAAATGTAAGCACAATGAGGAGGTTTGCTAGTGGTAGTACCTGATGGCCAATCTCCTTAGCAAAGGATGAGCATGCAGGATTTCTAGTTTTCAATTTAAACTAAAAGCAAGCAGTTTGATGTTTCATCTGATGACTTTAATCTATGGATCTCTCTGTAGCAATTGCCTGTAAATATTTATTCCCAAATGTAGTTTTCTGCTTATTTTATGAGTGAATGTTAGGGGCAGATACTGGAGGAATGCTGCATGAATTACCTGGAGCTTTCCTTTTTAGCCCCCAAAATTGATGGTTAAGTGAAGTGAAATGTTATTGTAAATGTGGTGGATGGAAGTCTTGAGGTTCTGGGTTAGAATCATTGTGTCTCGGTCAGAAAATCTAGGTTCAGGTCCCACTTGAAGATCTGAACACACTTTCTGTAGCCATTGTAACGTGGCCAGACAGGTTGATTATCAGCTGGCGAGTTCATGCCACCTTTTGTCAGATGTATTGGAAGTGCGAGAGAATTTTCTGATCAGCCATAGTGCAGAAAGTAACAAAACCGCTGCAGTGCTTTGCTAAGCTTATTATTGGACCAATCCAATGAAAGTCTGTGGTTATCAATGCCCTCTTAAAGCATGATATCTGAAGAGAGAGATGTGGTGGGTTAATGCTATGCAGTATTACAGAGAATTTGTTCTGGCAGAGAGCCACAGGATTTATTTAGACTGAGCATTGAAAACCGAGATGTATTATAGCATGTAAGATCAGAGATTAAGACTGAAATCCATCGGCTTGATTCAGTTCTGTGTTTTGGTTCTTTGTTAGCATTGTTCCTTCAGTTTGAATTTGTGCTTAAAACATTTTGCACACCCCCAGCACGTGCATGCGTGCACACATGTGCACTCCTTATGATCATGTGGTTTGTTCGGTACTCAGATGCTTAGAAATTGATTATATCAAATTCTTACATTCAAATATGATGTGAAGGATTGAATACCAAGTGATAGTCTGAATCTTCCTTCCGATCTTGATCTTTAAAGTTCTGCGAAGTGAATATGCAAAGTTGATTTAGTTAAGTGTTGCATTTTATGTTTACTATCTTCACTGTAAATATTTAAGCTACTACATTTGGTGCAGTCGGTCACTGTAGATAATTGGAGCCTTAATGCTTAAATTAGAACAGTTTAAAATAAAATGTCTTTACTTTTAGCTCGTTCCCCAGTCTTCAGTGCTATGTTTGAGCATGAAATGGAAGAAAGCAAAAAGGTATGTATGTGTAGTGTGTATTTTATAATCAGAAATAACTAACATTGAGCACGCCATACAATGTTATTTAACTGTGCTGCAGTCAATGGAAAAGTTTTGATTGTATTGTTATTTAAAGCTCCATTTTCTTTAAGATGTGTTTGAAAATGCAGGTGTGAAACCTGCTCTGAGTTACCACATTGAGTAATCTTGTGCTTTGACTTCATTTTTGACACCAGCGCCGCCTGTGTGCAGACTGGGAAAGTATGCTGTGGATTGCTGTGCTGCATGTCTTAGCACCCCAGAAGATTGCATGATGGTGCATTCAAAATATTTCTCCTTTAAGCCATTCTTCCTTTAACCTTTTTTCTATAGAGCTGGGATTTAAGGCATGATTAACACCAAAGTGTTTCATGTCCTTTGCAAATTTTGATTGAAAGCCACAAAAAGCTGCTTATTTTATCCAACAGATTTATTTTTGGTGTTGGAATGATATGTAATTAGGGAAGCATTGTGGAACAACAGGACAATTTTATTTATGGTATTCATTGTGTAGAAGTGTAATTACAAAGGCAAGAAGTCACTTTTCAGTATTTCCAGAATGCCATTTTTGTCCTTTTAAAGGTGATATGAAGGAAATGTAGACAATGAACAACAGTCATAAGATTTAATTTAAAAGTTTCCACACCCCCATTTGTCATTTTTTACAGAATCGAGTGGAAATTAATGATGTGGAGCCTGAAGTCTTTAAGGAAATGATGTGCTTTATTTATACGGGAAAGGCACCAAATCTTGACAAAATGGCAGATGACTTACTTGCAGCTGCTGATAAGGTGAGTGAGAAGGCAAGAAACTATCACTAGTCGGCAGTTAACTAGTGAGTAGAGCAAGTTTGAATTAAGTTGAAGTTAGAGCACTAGCGTAATTTTGTCATTGGTATCTGTACCTACTCCAAACTTTTTAAAAAAAAATTTGTAAGCAGATCATCATTGTCAGCATGTTCATCATTGTCATCATTCTGTTCCTTGCATGTTGTTTGAGTGCTAATTTTTAAATACATATTTAAGGCACTTCGATATCTTCAATCCAGATTTTGAGATTAATACTTATTTTCTGGTCATAGTTGCCCTGTTGTGGTGCTAGTTAAATGATTTGTTCATTAGCGCACCTCTGACTTGTATATTATCCAGTGTTATAATCTAGGCAGTGTTGCATCCAAAATAAGATGTTTAATTGCTGATGTTAGATCACCAAAAAAATTGGTTTGCATTACAGATAGTCTGTACTTTGTTAAGCTATTAACTTAGAATGAATTTTAATTCTGTTTCACAGAAGAAGGCAGCTTCTCTGAACAAATTGATCCCCATCATCCCTAAGTCTGTACTATGAACTTAAACTGGTGTACCTTTGGAAGAAGAGTGCATCCAAGTTCAAGCTGGCAGTTAAATTTACTCAAAAGATAATTGTGATTTGGAACTATAATTATGAAACCCTAGCAATGCTTCTGAGTAGTCGTCTGGATTGAATGATATATAGGCAATGATGTCAAAAAACTCTTCTTAGCCACCCCATGTAGTGAAACAAGAACTTGAGATCTCAAGTACTGCTGATTTGTTATACATTAGATCTTTGAGAAGCATCTACTTCAAATGCAAACAAGCAAGGTATTATCTATTTCTAACACATTAGATGAATGAACAATGACATTTTGAGCCATCTGGTTATTTTTCTGATCATCACGTGGATGTTTTTTGAAATTATGGCTTGGTTAGTTCTCCTGTTATTTTGAGTGCTTTCAAAAATTGCATGACAACTTCAGGGTTTAATCATTAGAGGATAATGAGTTTGCCTGCTTCTTGATCTCTTCAAAGTTGCTGATTCTAGGCAATGTATGCTAATTGAAACTACACATTTCATATGTCTGTTACTATCTGGTGCAAAAATAAATGATTAGTAAATGCACTTTCTATCTGGTCACGTTAAGTTTTAAAATGAAATTTTTTTGCTACTTGATACGTTATGCACTTCCAATTCCTTGATTAATTTGCTGGTCTCAATCATTTGCATTTTAACAAACTGTATTTTACTGAGACAATGCATGTGATACTTGAAGCTGGAAGTTCCAGTTTCACAATACTGCAGATGTTCTTCTTCTGATTTCATTGAAATGATGCTTTAGAAAGCAGTTTCCTTTGCCATCAGAATACAGTCTTGAAAGAGACAATGTTGGGCAAGTTCTGTTATTTTGTACAATTGATCACTGCAGCCCATGTTGCTTTAACTTATGAGGTGAGAATACAGAAACTATAAATGCATCCCTTGGAATAGTGAAGTTTTAAGGAGTGATCAAGGGCTAAAGTTAAAATTTTCAAGATATTGTGGGAAAATGAGACAGTGCTATTGTGGAGTTTAAGCATCATGAGCATGAACTAGAGCCAAACCTTTTGGAAGGGAAGTTTTTTTAAAAAAGTCATTTATGGAATATATAGTAGAAGTTTAAAATGCTTCCACAAATGGTGATTGATACTAGATAAGTTATTAATTTTAAAGCTAGGATTGACATTTTTTTTTGATAGCCAATGGCACTAATCATTGAAGAGCAAAGATAGTTATGTGGAGTTAGGTCAAAGATCAATTGTAATCTTAATGATGACAAAATAGATCAAGGGTTAAAGGTCTATGCCTGTTCTTAATTAACTTCGATTGGCTTATCATAAATACTAAATGGCACCAGCTCCAGTTTTAAAAATTGCTTTGAAGATTCTACAGTAAGACCTTGTTTTAAGTCATCTTTTTCAATGTTCTGCTTTAGTGTTACAGATATAATGGGGCTGGTATGTGCACTTTTCACTGAGACTTCAACTGAATGTCAATTTGCTTGACCCAGTTGATGTCAGTTTGGAGCAGCCACTCCAACGTTTTGATTCTTGCTCGCTCACCACTTCCTTACTCGAGTTGTCTGTCACGCTTGCACAACTTCTGTCCTCAAGTCTCTTTGACTCCCACCTGCTTCCTTTACCCAGTTCACTCACTCTTGCACCGCTTCAGTACCATAGTTCACTCTCTCCTGTGTGCTCCTTCCCTCCCCAGCTTTCTCTCTCACCTGAAGTTCAATACAACAATCATAGAAGAGAGAAAGAGCTTGGAAATTGTATTTGTATTTGGATTTTAATCAGGTCAGGTAATTGCCTCAAAACAAAACTTAGACTGTACTGACAAGTGTGCATTTAAGAATTGCAGAATCTAAATTCAAAACCTCAGTTTAAAGGCGAATGTAGCTTGGGTCTGAGTAAGATGTGCATGTGCTGTGATTTTTTTAAATTGACTGTATTTTACAAAAGGCAATATGATTTTAACACTTGCCTGGTCTTTTGCAAACTTTCTGTTCTTTCAGTATGCTCTGGAACGTTTGAAGGTGATGTGTGAGGATGCTCTTTGCAGCAATTTGTCTGTGGAAAATGCTGCAGAAATTTTAATTCTGGCAGATCTACACAGTGCAGATCAACTCAAAACTCAAGCAGTAGACTTCATAAACTAGTGAGTACCGAAATTCAGTCCCATTGCTAACTTGAAACTTCAATTATGATCAACTGTCATGAGGTCAATATCATAACATTTCATCTCCATACTCGGAGTTCAGGCTGCTTCTCTCTTGAGCCTTGGGTTAAATGAATGTTGGATGTCCCAGCTGCAGACTGCCCACCGTTTAGCATAATTTGGCTGTCATTTTTGGCCATAAACATAGCTCGTGTGTGATGTAAAATCTCACTATGTTCAACTAGTGTTAATCTTCTGAGGTCAAGGCTAAGTAAACTTTACTTGCCATTTAAAGGTACTTAATGTTGATATCGATTGCTCAAAATGGAGAAGTCTTGTTCTCCTTTGTGAACCCTGCTTTTGAGAGCTCAAAAAGACAAATATGGAGTTCCTGATGCCTTTGTAAAGTTGCAAGTTCTTGATGTAGTATTGCCTTTTCCTACAATTAGCTTCATATTTTTGTTTTTATTTTTTGTTTCTAAGTTTGAAGTAAAAGTTGATCATTACCATCAAACAAATTTTTGCTGCAAGTCCTTTGAAGTTTCAAATTGGTGTCCCATGATTCAAAACATTATTCATCTCCCAAAATCTTGAGCACCATTTCTGAAGTGTTTTTAGTTGTCATGATTTATAGGTTACTTCAAAAAAAATGTCAAAAACTGCAGTGTCTAAAATACATCATCAGATTTTTCAAGGTTAGGCCAGACTTCAGAAGATAGGAAAAATTCTCCTAAGGTACTGCTTAAAATTTTTGTATGTGTTGCTGATAGCTACAAATTTTACAGGTTAAGAAATAAATGGTTCTCTGTAATAATAAGTAACAAAATGTAGTGCTAGAGGTACAATTTTGACCAGGTGTCAAATATCATATGACTTTTTCCATGTTTTCCGCAATTTGTTTTATTAAATGGATGTAGTTTGAACATTTTACTGAAAACAGTGGAGGTTGGTCATTGAAAGTATTCAAGGGCAAATTACACAAATTTTTAATCCAGGTGGAAGTTGAGGTTTGTGGAGGTGAGGCAGGTAGGTGCAGTTGAAGTCATAATCCAAACAATCATTATCTTAATAGCAGAGGTGTCTTGTTGGTCCAAATGGGCTACTGTTCCTATTCCAGGAAGATTTCAGTTCCAGTCATCGCCCTCTAAAACAATCAAACCACCCAGTAAGTGAGGCACAGATAAAACTAGTAAACTTCAGCAGCACTTTTTTTAATGCATTGCTTTTGAAAATTGGAGCCTTTACCTACTTATTTTTAATATGTGTGCCTGGAGTAGCATTGGGTAAAAGTGCTTGTAAAATGGCATGGAATATAACTTATTAGTGCCTTTATAACTAGGTTGAGAAGGGTTTCGGGGTCAAGATTCTTGTTCTGGGGTGAGGTGCAAAATGTATCTGAAGAATAAATGGAGCATTTTTTCTTCTATACCTGGTGGAAATGGGAATTAAATGACTACTAATGGTTTCTTTTAATAATTCCACTTCAGTATTAGGTTTAATGGCAATGAAAAACAGTAAAATACTTGGTGTTGTACTGAGCACATATTTGGATGAAAAATTTGTATTTCCTATTGACTGGCTTAATGACTGCCTAACACATTGGATTTCCCTGCTTGGATCAGACTGATCACTTTAGGTGTAAGTTTATCTAGGGTGTGTTTTTGTTCAATCCCAATTTTTTTCTGAAGTAGAAATCTATCTTTAATCTGGCAGTTTTTTACGAGCTAAGTACGACTGATGACTTGTTAGTTTTTTTTTCCCCATTTACCTCTTGTCTATTTCTCAAATTAAAATTGTGCATTCATTTATATGGAAAAGAATTCTTGTTACTGATTGCGATGTTATAAAACTGCAATCTTGATATTTTGTGAAAATTCCGTATTAGCAAGTGATGTGAAAAAGCAATGCTTTCACATTTTTGTGCATTAAATTATGCTGTAATGGAGGTTTAAGGGATTTGTAGTTGATTTTTTTTAAAAGTAATGCTTTAGGATGCATCTTTTGTGACCTGCAAATTAAGTTCTATAGTCTTGTTGATTAGATTTCTGTATATTTGTTGGTCACCCATTAATTGGGGATGGTAAAGCGTGTAGGAGTTCAGCATGATCAAAGGCTAACGTTTAATGCAATGTGTTAAGTGCTAAAGGTAGATGAGTGAGAATGGCTCAAATGAAAAACACAAAAATCTAAGCAGTTAAAAGTCATGAGTGTAGATAAATTTAAAGTACTGTGAATGCAACCCCATTTTTAGACCTATGATTATTTTTTGAGTCAAGAATAGCTTCTGCGCCATGATCACTAATCTGTTAGTTACTGCATTTTGCGACCATCTGGTTTTGGTAGGTCGGCATAAGATACACAAACCTTGCTGTGTTCAGCATGATTGAAGGGACCATGTTCTCAATTCTAATTTTAAGCAGATCCACCTTCTGTTCTTTTCTGTCCTCTGGGCAAAAGAAAAGAATACCCAATTAGAAATAAACTATTCTTAGCCAGTTTTCCTTCATACTCTGCATTGGAGATAATTAGGACTTTTCAAAAATCAAGTTGAGTTGTGAATTCTTGTATTGCATTGCTAAAAGTTGCCCAATAATGAACGATTCTCAAAAAAAGATTTAAAAATTTATAAATTCCATTTTCAAGCACTATTATGATGATCTAACCTTGGAACGCAATCTAGGGAGCAGTGAAATTCTAATGTTAGTGAGAGCTTCTTCATACAAGTGAAAATGTTGATGCTTTGGAGATTTAATGGAATTTAATATTGAGTGACACCTGTGGTTAGAAGCATAAAGTTATAACCATTAGGTTCTTCTCCTTGCCAAGTTTTCTGTTTTTAAAAAAAAAATTACGTTTATATTAATGGAGACTGATAATTATTTTTAAAAAAACTACAAATTACAACATATATTTTAAAATGTCTTTACAAATGAAATGGCAGTGCTGCAAAGTAACATTATTTTCAGCTCTGAAATGTTGCTAGTATATACAGTTATACCAACCCAACAAATGGCCAGCTGAGAAAGTATTTGAAGACTAGGATCTCAAACCTCAGACTAAAGTAATTATTTATTGGACAGCAGTAATTCACATGCTCTTGTATGCCTTAAACTTGGACAACCTATAATAGGTATCTTGCAGCATTGGAGATCTGTGACCAGTTCCAACTTCACAAAATCCTCCAAATTTGTTGGTATGAAATGCAGACTTTACAGAAGTGTCCTTTGAGCCAACGTGTCCAGCGTTGAGGTACTAATCACTCAAAACCAGCTCAGTTGGGCATGACTTGCCGTTCATTCAGATGCCTTGACACTAGATCCTCAAAGTAACTGTTTTACCTGGAACTCTTACATGTAATGAAAGTCTGAGGATGTTGGAGACACTTTGGAATGTCCTCACTGAATCCAGGAAAAGGCTGAACATTCCCACCACTCATACCAGTCTCTGGACTGTGTGTGATCAAGATGAAGATTCATTTAGAAAGACACAGACCACATTCAGAGATTTTGAAAGCACGCAGATTTGATTAATTATTGTTACGTTTACCTAGGAACAGTGAAAAGTTTTGTTTTGTGTGCAGTACAGGCAGATCGTATCATATAAAATGCATGAGCGAAGAATATAATAATATGGCTGTAGAGCAAGTGTACAGAGTGAGATTAACATTAAATTTAATATGGGAGGTCCATTCAGAAGTCAAATAAGTTGAGAAGTTGTAGAGATCTCTCAAGCCACTGAACAGCTCATCCATGTGACCCTTCAAGCATTACCAACCCTACATGTGGCAGGGTCTACAGGTTGGGTTTCAGATTTATCAGCGATCTCTCGGAGTCTGTTCAATGAAGTGGAAACAAATTAGGCAGTATAAAGTAACGATACACCAACCCTTTACAGAAAGGAACTCTCGTTGTTTAGAAGAAGATTTGGTTACTTGTGAATATTAATTTTATAAATTAATGTCTATAATGGTACTCATTAGATAAATACCTGTGCACATGTCCTCAAATCTAACCCAGTAACTTACTGCCCATCAGTCCGCACATATCATTAGCAAAGTAATGGGTAATGTCATAAGCATGAACATTCTCAGCTGCTTCATCAAGACCTTTCTTCCATCATAAGCTTGGAAGTGGGGATATTTGTAGATGATTGCACACTGTTCAATGTCATTCACGGCTCCTCAGTACTGAAGCAGCACGTATCTATTTTCACCAAGATCTGAACAATATTCAGGTGGTCTAATATTCACACCTATGAATGCCAGCCAATGTTTACCTTAAACAAGAGAATTTGTAGCTTTGTAAACTGTTTTGTATTAAGGGTTACAGTCGCGAACCATTTCAACTCTCCCTCCCATTCCTCAGACGACATGTCCATCCTGGGCCTCCTGCAGTGCCACAACGATGCTACCCGTACTGCATCCCAAAACCAGCCCAGCTTGTCCCCGCCTCCTTAACCTGTCCTTCCTCCCACCTATCCCCTCCTCCCACCTCAAGCCCCACCCCCATCTCCTACCTGCCAGCCTCATTCTGCCCCCTTGACCTGTCCGTCCTCCCTGGACTGACCAATCTCCCCCCTACCTCCCCACCTACACTCACCTTTACTGGCTCCATCCCTGCCTCTTTGACCTGTCTGTCCTCTCTCCACCTATCTTCTCCTTTATCCATCTTCTATCCGCTTCCCCCTCTCCCCTTATTTGTTTCAGAACCCCCTTCCCCTCCCCCATTTCTGAAGAAGGGTCTAGGCCCGAAACGTCAGCTTTCCTCTTCCTCTGATGCTGCTTCGCCTGCTGTGTTCATCTAGCTCCACATCTTGTTATCTCATTTGTTTATAGTTTTTTTAAGCAGACGAAATAGCAAATGACATCCATGATAGTAATTTTCACATTTGTGAAACTCTGACAGAAGTCACCTGGAATAATTGTGACGTTGATTTTTATTTTGTGTTGAGTTTCATAAAGAGTACTCTTTTTTGTTTTTTTTTTTGGAGCCATTAATTGTGTTTGGGTACATTAGTTTATCCAGGTTTCTTGGCATGACAAGTTGCAAGGCCCTAATCGTTTGTGTTGATTGAAACTATCCCCTTTACAAATGTAAGTATAGTGAGGGTTGTGCTGTGCTACATTGAAAGGTCTCTTTAAAGTCTATAAGAACAATGTCCAGGTTTCTTGATATTTGTCCATCTTTTAGTGGAAGCACATTTTCCAACTTGAGTGCAGTAAGCAATCAACTGGATATTTAAATAGGCTAGCCATGCTACCAGTGGTTTTGTGTATTGCTGGCCGGGATATGATTGGAATATAAGTAGGAGGTACCCTTCTAGTCAAAGTGTGTCTCTAGTGGCCCCAGCAGCATTTCTCTGATATTTAGAAAAAAAAAGTTAAAGTTGTTGTCTGGTCTGGCATGTGGAATATGTCTTGCATTACTTTGAAGTGGCTTTTGTATGTTTTGGACCTTTGTATCTGAGAAGGAATTTATGCTACTTTTTTTGAAATGTGTTTTCAAATATTTAGTGGAAGTGTCTAAATATTGACGAGTATTTATGGTAAACATGTTAGTAATTTTGAAAGAGTAGTTACAGTCAGCCTCATGAGGTCATATTCCAGTGAGAAGAGGACATTTACATGTGGAACATCTGATCATGTCTTCCACAAATGTCTAAAAGTGCTTTCATCAAATAAGTTAACTATTGAGGAGGTAAGTGTGGCAGCCATTGGACACAGTGCAAAACACCACAGACAACTATGAGAAGAATAGCCACTTAATTGGTTTAGTTATTTGATAGTTTTGCTTGAGGGGAAAATGCCATGTGACCTTCAGTATAAATCTGAGTCATTGGTGCAGCAGGTTGAAGCTGGGTTTAGTGCCATGTCCAACAGAAAGCAACCTAGACTTTGTGCTCAATTGCTGGATTTGTCTTCTGACTAGAATGGAATTTAAAAAAAAAAAAAAAAAAATTCACTTCATCTATTTTTTAATCAATCTGTTAAGTTATTATGACACACTCCTGGACCATGTGGGACTGGAACCTGGGCCTCCTGGTCCAGTGGTAGGGGCTGTACCTCTACCACCAGAGGGCCCTCGACTAAAATGGAAGCTACTGGACAAAATTGCCTGCTGTAAATTTAATAATTTAACTATTGATAATTGTGTTAATTGCACTGAGTTTCCACGATAATGTGGCATTATATTTGATGCAAATTAGATATTGGAATTTTGTAATGTTTTATCCTCTACTAATACTCACTCTTTGTTTACTAACACTAATTCCAGCCCAGTGGAGATTGCACCAAATTCTGGTGAAAGAAAACTTAAAGATAACAGTCCTTATTTTTTTAAACTTTTTGGTATGCGAGAGTAAATTTGTCATCCACCATTGTTTACTCCATTCAAATTTTTAATTCATTCTGTAGTTTTAAAAGCAGGTTGTGTAGACTCTTATCTAAACATTTCATTTGCGGTTGAATAGAAAAAGGCTTTATCATCTGAGTTTTTACGGACATGCATTTTAATGTGTTGATTCATAACCTCAATTCTGAGGTGGGAGAATGAATGAAGTTATCATTCCTGGGGCATTACTGAGACTCCATGAAGGACGTTGAGCGGTAGACTGATGTGAGGAAGCACATGTAAATGGAGCCTGACCCCAGGCAGCTGAAATTTTAAGTTCAAAGGAAAGGCAAGGGGGCCAGAGGTAGTATCATGTACCCGTAAGTAGGGAAGAGCAGCATAAACGGAGAGACCCATGAACAGAGCAACAAAAAAGATGCCTGGGATTGGATTGGAGCAAAGTGGCTTTGTGCTGAGTGGAAAATCTATTGAAGTGAGGTTGCAGGTGAAGTAGTCACTTAAGGTGCATGTATTCGTGTTGAGCTTTTAGTTTAATTCAAGTTGATCCATTATAAAGTGAAGTTAAATTGATAAATGATTAAATTGGTATTAGATTCGGCGTTGAGAGTCAAATCAACTTGATGTCCTGGGTCTAATTTTACTAGAATGAAATGCTGAAGAGTAGAAATACTAAAATTCTGAATTGGAGTGGATAGTTGTGTTTTTGGATAGAAAAGGAAAGACATTAATTCTTGCAGTGTCAGGATAACTTCTGAAGCAGTTTGGACCTGTAGAGCATGAAACAATTGATGAGAACAGGAACCATTGTTCTCCTTAGTAGAGTTAGGGAGAATTTAAACTAACTTGCCAGAGGACTGGGCACCAGGAGGTAACATTTCAAGAGGAAAATCAAGGCACGCAAAGAATTGGAAGAGTCCAATTGAACTAAAGTAATAGATATTAGTCGGGGCAAGGGAATGCAGTCAAGCATAAATGAGCCATGCATTGCTCATAATGTGAATGTCCGAGAGGGGCCAAGTAATTGTTTTTGAGCAGTAGATGCAGATAGCAAAGTGGGAATAAGACGCAATACTCGATACCTGGTTCAATAAAAAGGGCAGTATTCAATGCTAAATACTCTTGAATGTGGACTGTATGAGAAGGCTAGTAAGAATAAGGGACAGCGGTATTGATTGAGGAGAATACAGCAGTTCTGGAGAGCACACCACCTGGAGGAATCGAGAGTAGAATCTATTTGGTTGCATCTTTAAAAAAAATAGAGGCATTGTTACTATACTGGGTGTGTTCTGTAGGTAAATTATGGGAAGGAACAAATTTGCAAGGAAATTAGAAAAGTGCAAAAACATAGAATATTTTTGAGGGATTTTTATATCCTAATGTAGACTGGGACAGTAGTAGTGTAAAGGCAGCAAGGGTGAGGAAGACTTTCTGAAATATGTTCAGAGGAATTTTTGATCAGTATATTTCTGACCCAATAAATGAAGAAGCATTGCTGGATCTTGTTCTGGGAAATGAGATGATAGGTCAGGTGTCAACAAGAGAACATTTTGGGGTCACTGATCATTGTATCATAAGACTTGGGTTAGCTATGGAAAAAGCTTTTGGCATCCTGAGTTTTAATAAATCAAAGTCTAAGAATGCACTAATAAGGAAATTATGGTGAGCCTTTATAAGACATTTTATTTCTGCCTTAACTATATTTATTGACCCATTTTGAACACTGCACTTCAGGAAAGCTGTGAAGCTGTTGGAGGGGATCAAGATATTCTCAATGTTTTCAGAAATGAGGGACTCTAGTTATGCGAATAGATTGAAGAAGGGCTATTCTCCTTCAAGAAAAGATAGTTGAAAGATTTGTCGGGCATGTTCAAAACCCTGTGTGTTCTGGACAATATAGATATTTTCATTTTTCAAAGGACAACTATTTGAAGAGGTTTGCAAATGAACCAAAAGCAACAGGAGAGAACTTTTTTCACGCAGTGTATAGTTGTGATCTTGAATGCACTGTGCATGTAGTGAGGATGGATTTCAGTTCTGGTTTTCGATAGGGAAATGGATATTTGCCTGATAAAAATAAATTGGTAGGGTTATAGGGAAGTCATGGGCAAGAGGGATTGGCAGAGGGCCCTGAGATTTGGGCACAGACAACATACAAAATAGTTGCCTCCTATGTTGTACCATTCTGTGATTGAGAAACAAAATTATCATTAAGCTATTTAAAGTCTGTAATAGTTAAAAATTGTACTTGTAGTCAAATGGAAAGGGGCTGTCTCATCTGCTTAAATGATATGAATGAGTGAATGCTTATTGCCACATACAGATAAATTGCTATAATTGCCAGAAGAGCTTCCCAACTCTCGTTAACATCATTTAGGTGAAATTAAGGTAATCTGCATAGCAATCAGATGGACGTACGCTCCTGTTTGTAGCCCATTAACTCCTTATTGTAGTCTTTTAAAGTTGCATATATGAAATAGTAGGCACTTTTCTGCCTTGTTGTTTCTTTTCTGTTTCCCGCTTGGACGTAATATTGGCAAAGTAGTAAATTTGCTGGTTTTATTTTGACTGTGTGTCCAGTTCTGTAGTCCACAAATGGCATTTTGTTAAAACTATTATGATTCTTTAAAATTCAACAAGCAAATTAAATGTATAAATTATGGGGTCTATATGAAGAAGTTTAAGTTGCAGCAAAGTACTGCAAAAAGGATATCTTGTCCTTACAATGGACATTGATACATTGACCATTAATGACCGTATGTGTATGTATATAATTTACTTATTTTTCTTTCTTCTTTACAGCCATGCATCTGATGTAATGGAAACATCTGGCTGGAAATCTATGGTTTTGTCCCACCCTCATCTGGTGGCTGAAGCTTACCGGTCACTAGCATCAGCTCAATGCCCTTTCCTCGGTCCTCCCCGCAAGCGGCTCAAGCAGTCCTAAAGACATTTAGAAAATGGAACGCATCATTTTAACAGCACTGACCCGACCACAATGTTGCACAATGCAATGTATGAAGCTTTCTGACGCGCTTCCCGCCATGGGAAAAGACCGTGCTTGGTGTGCTAATGACCCTTCTGCACTAAGCACTTTGGGGAGAAAAACAAACCACAAACTTTTGCTGCATTGTCTTGTGCCCCCTAGACCTGGCTGAACGGATTCCCGCTGTTTTTTTAACGGATGTTTTTAGATGTTGGCTCAGAAGCTTTCATTATGGGGGTGGGAGTTGGGGGGGAACGAAAAAGTTAGCCACTTAACTTGCACTACTTCATCTACTTCGTTTTGTGAACTTGAAGCCAGCTTCTGTCAGCACAAGAAAATGGATAGGGGCATCTAGAGTCAAATGGACAACCTCTAAATGGAGGAGGAGAGAAACACTCGGGCTGTGGGTGCCGTAGATGCCAATGGGCTTCTTTTGTCCTTCCACTGAAAATGCAAATACGTTGATGTCGTTAGCCGCATCTGACCCAAAGTTTGCAACAGCAGTCAAAAGAAAACTGTTTAAGTAGCACTTGTAATATCATTATAATAAAAAAAAAATTACAAGGGTAAAACGAATCCACACAAGTTTGGGTCAAATTTTAAAAGCATGGAAAGAAACCATTCAGTTTAGACTTTACCCTCCTGCTCCTAGCATTCTAAGCTCAAACTATGTTTAGATACATAAGAGCTATGGCTGTGTAAATGTGTTTTCAGATGATAGCTGAAGTTTCATGTATAGAATGTATGAAAAATGTGATGGGCATTTTTCTTGGATGGATTAGCAAATGGAACAAGAGTTGATGACCGCATTTTCTTGTTCACTGGAAAAAAACAAAAGTCCTACTCCAGCTTTTGAATTCAAACTTTTGTCAAACACATTCAACTATTTTTACCCGAGAAAGAAAAGGTTAATTTGTAGCAACTAGTTTCCAGGTTGCATTGCTTCCTTTGATTCATTGCTTTTCTGAAGTGGGGGAAACAAAATTTGAAATGGTTAATTCCCAAATTTTTCTTTGGAAATTATAAATAAAATACTATTTTGTATTGAAATGCCTTTTGTGTATTTCCTCTTCAGAGGAAATCCTTTTCCCCAGAAATTATATTGTGAAATATTGATTAATTGTATGGTTTTGACAGCAAATTCAGCTTTTGTTTAGTGAATAAATTTTGTGCAGAAATTATTTTTGAAGAGTCAGTCACTTAACAGAATTTGTATTGAAATTTTTTTCCAAACTCTTATTTATTGGAGCAAAGTCTGCTTATTTTGATTTGATTCAATAGTGTTTGTTATACCATGCTTTGAGGAAATCCCACTTATATGAAAAGACTGATCTCCTTTTGAGATGTGTGATTAAAGTGACTCTTGTATTGTCCTGTTACCAAGGTTGAAATCTCAATTTTACAAATGTTTTGAATGAGAATGGATGCTGCAAACAATCCTTGCAACCCTTATATTTAGTTATGAAACTTGGGCATAGTTTCTGTGAAGTCTGGCTGTGCTATCAAAAGTTTAAAGTTCTTGGCTTATTTTGTCTGTTTTTAAACAGAGGTTGAACAGGCCTGTATTCTCCCAGTGCTATTGTTTTGCTCCTTTTTGTTCCCTCTCCAAAGTAAGAAGATGGCGCAGTCTAAGAAAAATCGGACTGAAAACTTGTGATTGAGTTTGCATTGTGGCACTTTATTTTATTTTAAGTCAAAGCTGTACTCTGTACATCACAGCTGATGGCAGCATAGCTTTACATTCCTGAAACTATAAACTGTATGGTCTGCTTTGGTTGCTCATGTGAACATAACAAAATGATTTGTGGACAGGTTGATATATTAAAGTATGTCACCTATATATTTGTCCTTTTATCTACCAGCTTATTCATTCCATCATACTACACTGCTTCTTCAAACACTCCCATCTCTGATGCTCTCAGTTACTTGATAGAGCTCTGCAAATTTGCTTTTGAATATTTTTATATTTGTAATGCAATGCTAACTGAAGCTTTTCAGACACGCTACATCCCATGCAATACTTTGAATAGAAAGTATATTCAAATGAGTGCTGGATAAAATTGGTCTCTTTCAGATGGACATTTTTATTAGGACGGTTGAAAGTGAAAAACTGAAAACCCTTCCAGTAACCAATTAGTAATACACAAAACCAGAACATGAAAAGTCCTGTCAAAACTTTTTAAGCGGATAAAGCTAAGTATAGCGAAGGCAATTGGTGTACATCTGTAAAAATAAGGTAGATGTGGTTCTTTTAGTAATCATTTAGTAGGTATTGATGAAAGCACTAAAACTATAATTTCGAACTTGAGTGAGCTGAATATTTACAACTCCAAGTAATTTTCAGTTGGTTATAGATTTTAAAGAAACTTCTTGTCCAGAAATGTATAATAAAAAAGAAATGCCCAGTGTGTCAAATTGGATAGTATTTATTAACTATCCTTTGGCTGGGGAGGCACTACTTGTCCACATGATTTGAATTATTTACTAACTTATTGATAATCATCTTCCTGGTAAGCTTATTTTGGTAATTTTATATTTTTTAAACTATTTGCAATACTAAAACACCTGCAAAGAGCATTGTAAACCATAATTAAACTCTAACATAACACTGCATATTTTACTTGTGAACGTTTTTAACAGTTGTAACTTGCTTTGATATTCCATGACTTACCATCAAAGACCACAGGACGAAGATGCATTTGCTCTTTCAGTGTACCTACAGAAGACACTCTGGGAATTCAATCAAGACTGTGAGCTTGTAATTTTAGACGCATTGAGCCCAGGGCCTGCTAAAAGGTAAACTTCTCAAGATACTTTCAAAGGAGTCAAAGTGCAAATCCAAGGATAGCACGTGGTTAGCTTTAAAAATGTGGTTTTAAGCTTTATTGCACAGCTTAAATGTCAAGCTGAGTTCCGTGCTGTTTTAATGGCTAACAGGTTTGTTTCTTCATGAAACACTTAAGATTATGTGTGACTACATTTGTGCCTATTACTTTATAATTTCTTAACTAAAGTTTTAAAGAAAACTGTCACAATTAAGGATTATTAAAAAGGGGTTACAAAGATTACATTTCTATACTACTGTGAAATTCTGATTTGATGTGAAAGATGCTTGTCATAGCAATTCAACTTGCAGGTATTGTTGAACGGTGGAAAATTAGCTGCATAAATATGGAGAGAAGTCTGATGCACTATTGGTTAACCACTGAATAATTTTAGCTTTCCTAATTCCTTTACTTTTTAAATGTTGAATATTACTATCTATTTAGTTGAAATATGTGTATGTAGTTTACGTCCTATGAATCACCCATTTCAAACCATCCTGAGTGTGAAGTCTCGAGAGTGGCATCTTGGTCCAGAAATTAGTGATAGCAATTAGTACTGACTCCGTTATAAATCACCTTATCCAATTAAATAAACATGGATGAACTGAAAAAAATCATTTTTTATATATAATGGGAGGAAAAAAGAGGAATTGGAATTCTGTTTAATAAAATTTTTCAATTACTTTTTAAAGATACGAATCCCGAACCTGTAATCAACAGAATTGCTCAGGTAATTTGGTGAACTGAGGTTGAGTTTCCAATGTGTCTTTTCAATTAGTTGGCAATATAATGATCTGTGAGGGGAAGAAAAATGATTCGGAATAAATTCCCTGGTTTGTTTGTTTTCTTTGCAAGTCAGGGTCTCCACTTAATATGCAAATCATTTTCAAACACTGAATTTTCTTTTTGTTTATGTCAGGTGCTTTGTTTATTCTTAAATGACTGCAAATTATTCTATTCCCTACTCATGTAAAATGGTTTAATTTTATTGGTTTGCCATCTAATATCTTGTGTACCTTAAAGGTCACCTTTCAGATCAAGACTTCCCCTGATTTGTATTTGTTATAAGTTTATTTTAAAATGTTCAGTTCCTGTCCAGCAATTGCATTTCTGTTTGAGGCAGATGGGGGTTTACTTTCCAAGCGGACTCTGGATTGCAGTGTTGGAAAATGCTAAATTGCAATCTTTCAGTTAAACCATTTTAGGTTTCCGTCTGAGATCACTAAAGCCACTCTTCAGCTAATTTAATGCACTACATATGATAGCAAGAAACAACTTAAGCACTGGCTGCTGTAAAGACTTTGGGCCATGCATTCTGAAGGAGCCCATGCTAGAGACACTGTCCCAGCACATCTACAGCATTGCCATATTCTGTCTTGTCCATAATAATAAAAAAATAAGCTGGACAGATCTAATCCAGCCAATTACTGCACCAAACCATGGTGACTCGGGTCTGGGTTCGATTCCAGCCTTGGTGACTATGTGGAGTTTGCATGTTCTCCCCATGTCTGTGGGTTTCCGCTGGGTGCTCTGATTTCTTCCCATAGTCGAAGATATATAGGTTAGATGGGTTAGCAATGCTAAATTGTCCATAGAACTGTACAGCACAATACAGGCCCTTCAGCCCATGATGTTGTGTTGACCTATTATCCTACTAAGATCAAAGTACCCTGCATACCCTGCGTTATACTATCATCCATGTGCCTATCCAAGAGTCGCTTAAAAGTCTCTAAAGTATCTGACTCCACTACCACTGCCGGCAGCGCATTCCACATGCCCACCACTCTCTGTGTAAAGAACCTACCTCTGACATCTCCCCTATACCTTCCTCCAATCACCTTAAAATTATGCCCCCTCGTAATAGACATTTCCACCCTGGGAAAAAGTCTCTGGCTATCCACTCTATCTCTGCCTCATCATCTTGTACACCTCTATCAAGTCACCTCTCATCCTTCTTTGCTCCAATGAGAAAAGTCCTCGCTCCCTCAACCTTTCCTCATAAAACTTGCTCTCCAGTCCAGGCAGCATCCTGGTAAATCTCCTCTGCACCCTCTCTACAGCTTCCACATCCTTCCTATAATGAGGTGACCAGAACTGAACAATATTCCAAGTGTGGTCTAACCAGGTTTTATAGAGCTGCTGCATAAACTCGCGGCTCTTCAGTTCAGTTCCCCTGCCAACGAAAGCCAACACACCATACGCCTTCTTTACAACCCTGTCAATTTGGGTGGCAACTTTGAGGGATCTGTGGACATGGATCCCAAGATCCCTCTGTTCCTGCACACTGCCAAAAATCCTGCCATTAACCCTGTATTCTGCATTCAAATTCGATCTTCTAAAATGAATCACTTCGCACTTTTCTGGATTGAATTCCATCTGCCACTTTTTTGCCCAGCTCTACATCCTGTCAATGTCCCGTTACAACCTACAACAGCCCTCCACGCTGTACACAACTTCTGCAACCTTGTGTCATCAGCAAACTTACTAACCCATGCTTCCATTTCCTCATCCAAGTCATTGATAAAGATCACAAAGAGCAGAGGTCCCAGAACAGATCCCTGCGGAACACCACTGGTCACCGAGCTCCAGGCTGAATACTTTCCATCTACTACCACCCTCTGTCTTCTATTGGACAGCCAGTTTTGTACCCGGACAGTCAAATTTTCCTGAATCCCACGCCTCCTTACTTTCTGAACCTTATCAAATGCCTTGCTAAAATCCATATACACCACATCCACTGTTCTGCCTTCATCAATGTGTTTTGTCACATCCTCAAGGAATTCAGTAAGGCTTGTGAGGCATGACCTGCCCCCCTCAAAGCCATGCTGACTATTTCTAATCAAACTGTGCTTTTCCAAATAATCATAAATGCTATCTCTCCGAATCCTCTCCAATAATTTGCCCACCACAGAAGTTAGACTGACTGGTCTTAAATTCCCAGGATTATCTCTCTTCCCTTTCTTGCACAAGGAAATGGCATTTACCACCCTCCAATCTTCTGGTACTACTCCAGTTGGCAGTGAGGATGCAAAGATCATTGCCAAAGGGGCAGCAATCTCTTCCCACACTTCCTGTGGTAACCTTGGGTACATCCCGTCTGGCCCAGGGGACTTATCTATCCTCATGTTTTTCAAATTCTCTAGCACATCCTCCTTCCTAACATTAACCTGTTCGAGCATATATGCCTGTTTTCATGCTGTCCTCACAAACGTCAAGATCCCTCTCACTGGTGAATACTGAAGCAAAGTATTCATTAAGGACCTCCGCTACCACCTCTGATTCCGCGCACAAGTTCCCTCCACTATCCCTGATTGGCCCTACCCTCACTCTGGCCATCCTCTCATTCCTCGCATACGCATAGAACGCCTTGGGATTTTCCTTGATCCTACTTGCCAAGGTTTTTTCATACCCCCTTCTAGCTCTCCTAAGTTCATTCTTCAGTTCCCTCCTGGCTACCTTGTAGAGCTCTGTCCGAACCTTGCTTCCTCAACCTTAAGTAAGCTTCCTTCTTCCTCTTGACTAGATGTTCCACATGTCTTGTCATCCGAGGTTCCTTCCCCTTAACAACGCTTCCTTGCCTCAGTGGGACAAACCTATCCAGTACTTGTAGCAACTGCTCCCGAAACAACCTCCACATTTCTGTTGAGCATTTCCCTGAGAACATCTGATCCCAATTTATGCTCCGCAGTTCTTGCGTCTAGTGTCCATGGATGTATAGACTGGTTGGATTAGCCATGCGGGATTACAGGGATAAGGTTGGGGTTTCTCTGGGTCGGATGCTGTTCAGAAGGTCAATGCAGACTCGTTGGGTCAAATAGCCTTTTCCCGCACTGTAGGGATTCTATGATTGTAGCAGTGATAGAAATGTGTTGTTGACAGGTGAACAGGGTACTTACCTGCCAATGACCTGCTTAGTTTGGATTCTGCAGGGGGCACTTGGTCCCAATCAGTTTACAGCCTTGGCCCAAACTAGAACTCCAGAAGTGAGCTGAGAGTGACTGCCTTTGGCATCAAG